TCTGTCTATCTGTCCATCTGTCTCTGTTCATATGTCTACCTGTCCATTTGTCCATCTGTCTGTCCATCTGTCTCTGTTCATATGTCTACCTGTCCATCTGTCCATCTGTCTGTTCATCTGTCTCTGTTCATCTGTCTGTCTACGTGGCCATCTGTCTGTCCATCTGTCTGTCTGTCAACCTGTCCATCTGCCTGTCTGTCTGTCTGTGTCTGTCTGTCTATCAATCCATCTATCTGTCCATCTGTCTGTCATATCTTTCTGTCTGTCTCTGTTCATCTGCCTGTTCATCTTCCCATCTGTCTCTGTTCATCTGTCTACCTGTCCATCTGTTCATCTGTCCTTCTGTCCATCTGTTTCTGTTCATCTGTTTGACTGTCTACCTATCCATCTGTCCATCTGTCTGTCTATCTGTCTGTGTGTTCAGCTGTCCATCAGTCCATCTGTCTGTCCTGTCTTTCTGTCTGTCTCTGTTAATCTGTCTGTCCATCTGTCTAATTGTCCATCTGTCTCTATTCATCTGTCTGTCTCCATCCATCTCTCCTTCTGTCCATCTGTCTCTGTTCATCTGTCTGTCCATCTGTGTCTGTCTGTCTACCTGTCCATCAGTCCATCCATCTGTCCATCTGTTTATCTGTCCATCTGTCTGTCTGTCTGTCTGTCTATCTGTGTCTGTCTGTCCATCAATCCATCTGTCCATCTGTCTGTCTTGTCTTTCTGTCTGTCTCTGTTCATCTGCCTGTCCATCTGCCTATCTATCTATCTGTCTCTGTTCATCTGTCTGTTGTCTGTTTACCTGTCCATCAGTCCATCTATCTGTCCATCTGTCCTGTCTGTCTCTGTCTCCCTGTCTCTCAGTCCTTTGGTTTGTCCATCTGTCCTGTCTGTCTGTTCATCTGTCTGTGTCTGTTCATCTGTCTGTCTCTTTCTGTCCATTTGTCCTTTCATCTGTCTGTCTGTGTTTCTGTCTGCCTCTGTTCATGTCTGCCTGTCCATCTGTCTTTCTCTGCCTTCCTGTCTGTCAGTCCGTCTGTCCATCTGTCCTGTTTGTCTCTGTCTGTCCATCTGTCCGTCAGTCAGTCTATCCATTGTTCTGTCTGCCATCTGTCTCTGTTCATCTGTCTGTCATCTGTCTTTGTTCATTTCATCTGTCTGTCTGTCTGACTCTGTTCATCTGTCTGTCCATCTGTCTCTTTGTCAGTCCATCTGTCCATCAGTTCATCTGTCCATCTGTCTGTCCTGTCTTTTTCTCTGTCTCTGTTCATCTGTTTGTCCATCTGTCTGTTCATCCATCTGTCTGTCTGTCTCTATCAGTCTATGTATGTTTACCTGTCTGTCTGCCC